GCAGTCCTCGGGCTTTTTAGTGTAAGTAGGCCTCATTCTTGTTTTCTGGAGTAGTCTGTTCCTCTACTCCTACCTAGCCTTAAATATTTTTGCATAATATTTAAATACAGTCATTTTTCCCTAAGATGCATCGTGTGCGTTTGATGTTTATGTTTTAATTTTGTGTCAGTCTACATAGATTTCTGTTTATAGTGGTCTTACAGACACTTTGTCAATTAATTTCACGAATATTTGAATTTGTTCACCATACGTATGGATGACTCTGTTACCAGTGTGTTTGCAGAGATAACCAAGATACTTCTGTTACTGGATTTTTTTTCATCGTCCTCTCTTGTCATGTGACGGAGAATGTGTGGCAGCATAAGTAGAAAACATTAAAGTTAACCTCTGTGTCCAGGTTTTGAGACCATTATCTGTGCTGTTGATCCATCATGTTTGTTGCATGACTGTACGGCTGTTGGTGAACGTTTTTTTTCCTCCATTCAGCTGTATTGGTGAAAAGTATTACTGTTACCACTCCTAATGTGCTGGGGAGCTGTTTGTATAAACCCTTTCTAGTCTGCTTTATATTGAATTAGTCAAGTTAGATCAGACTACCATTTGAAGTGTTTGAACTGAGCTGGCTATTCTTACCTGGAGTGGATTAGAGAGAGATTCAGAGGGACAGGTTTTTGCAGATTAGAGGAGGTGATAATTTCTGGCATGGGGGCAAACTTAGTAGTAAAAGTTGAAGTCACTTGTTGAAGTAGTGAAAGTAGAAGTCACTGACTTCCACTGCTGCATGTAGATCTGGTAGACAAGATCTATCAGTTGCCTGCAGTTGAAACAGTAGTTTGAGGAAAAAGTTTACGTTAGAATCTTTTTTGCAGCACCAAATCTTCTTCCTCTTTCCACCTAGATTTCTATGAAAATGAACCGAATTGGTTAAAAATAAGACAATTTTTTCTGGAATTTAAGAGTACTCCAACACACCATTCTTGTGCTCCTGAAAGTTTGTAGGGCAGAGAAATAATGCAGGAAGCTTGGTGACATGGCCTTCCCTAATGTTCCTGTGCCTTGCTCTTTTAATACTTTTCTCACCTTCTTTCCTTCTTGGAAGTCTTTAAAAGAGCTTGGCTTATGCATGCTATGATTTTTAAGTTGATTTGAAAGGGTTAAAGGCAAAGAGCAGAACAGTATTTATCTCTGTGATTAACACGGTTTTTATTGGATGATATAGAGTTAAAGAGTAGTTGTCCACTGGAACACTTAGGGCAACCTTAATTATTTAGAACAATTACATGAAATAGATTATTGTGGCAATATGAATCACAAACTTACTAAAATCTATCCCCTTAGTTGCACGTAATGGATTACTTAAATTCTTTTCTGATATTAGTAAAATAGTTTTTCTCCTGTAGGCAAATTACTTTCCTGTGTGGACAGTTTCTTGGTTGAGGTTTAACTGGAGCTCTCTACATCTTTGAGTTGTGATCCTTTAACATTACATACTAGTAGGATTGCAAATTATCCAAATATGCAATATTGCATGCAATATAATGTCTGCAAAATCACTAACCAAACTGGAGATGTATTTATTAGAAATTCCAGTTTGTTAAACTCGGACAAAGGCTTCAGCTCTCTGTAGTGATTTCAGATGGGAGTGTTTTTCCCTCAGAAATGTACCAGCTTTTAAAGTACATGTTTCTCAGAGCCAAAGCAGATTTTATAAAAGTAATCACCTTTTAAGAAAAGTTTGGTAATGGCTTAATTTCTTTGTTAGGACACCCTGAAAGTTTGAAAGGTACCCTGCAGGTGGTTTGTCTTGAAATGTGTCAAAAAGCAGTTTTAGTAAAGGTGTCATTGCCTTTGATCTAAAGACCAAATTCATGCATTACTTCCTTGATGTTACTAGAGAGAATTCATCTAAAAAGAGCAGTGTTGTGATCTATCTGCTTTAAACAGGTACAGACCCTCCGGAAAATATAGTTTTCTATAATAGGCAGTGTTCCCAGAATAGCTGGTAATTCAAGTAGCTATAGTCCTGATTTGACAGCTCAGTAGCTCTTCATTTGAGGCTTTCTCTGGAATTGCTACGGTAAGTTGTCAGGAACATCTACTGGCTATTATGTGTCTGAGGACCGTTTTGCTTTGTCCCTTTGTTGGGAGATTTCTGTTCAGCAGTCTGGAGATAAATGATACCTGTTAGGAAACCTCGAGTTGTTAAGCTCTGAGCTTGACATTTGGAAATCTCAGTTTAGTAATGCTAGTCAGTGTGCATTTAAAGCAGTGTAGTCTACCTTCCTGTTCATCCATTCAGCCTTTATAGATACACTACTCTTTTTTTCCTGTGTAGTATTTTTTTTCCCCCCTCTGATTTCTTTTCTTTTTCTGTCTTGCTACTGTTGAGTGGTGTGAAGTTTGCCAGTAGTAGCTGTCCACCTTTTTTGACTCTCTTATGTCAGCTACAATGAATTTGGAAGTACCACATTCTTCTTATTTCTGTACTTGACATCTCAATATATTTGTAAATCGTTTGGCTAACTTGTGGACTGAAACACGTGCTCATGGGTGTGCATGTGTGTGTGGGGGAGTTCCCATTTCTAAAGTATGCGCTGGAGGTGGACATATGTGGAGAAGTAAATCAGTACGTCTGTTAGGACACTAACTACCTGTTTTTTAAGTTTTGTACCCTGCATGGCAGCTGAACAAAACTGAGTACACCAAGGTTGGTGCATCTGTTAAACTTCAGAACTCAATTGGATTCCTCCTGTCCCAATCTGATAGCTGTGAGGCTGCTGCAGCTCTGTGTCCCCAGGTCCAGCCAGAGGAGGGACTGAGGGACTGAGTGTGTTCACACACGTGAACAGCGTGGGTGACCAAATCCTGTTCTCTCCAGCTGATCAGGATTGATGTCCACTAGTGAGATATATACTCACAAAATAGGAATATATACGCACAAAATGGGTCTCTCCAGTAGCTGGCCTCAGCCACCCAGTCTATCCAGTAGCTGGCAGCAGAGCCCAGTTTCTCCAGGTGCTGGGTCCTGGACTGTCGAGCCCCTGAGGTTCATGGTCCCGCTCCAGTCACTGGCACTCGGCTCTCTTACCCTGCTTGCTGATGAGTCCGGCTTGAAGTTTGCTAGTGCTCTCACCCACAGGCTCAGATCAGAGAGTGCACCCACACAGAAGATAGTTAGAAACAGAATTTAATAAGAATATCGGATAGGCTATGGTGACCAAGCGCAGGGCCCGGTCAGACGAGCACGCTGACCAGCCAGCTCTTTACCCAGGACTGGCCCCTTTTATCCCCTTTTCCCTTGTTATTCAGAGTTATTTCCTAAATCATTTGTTTACCAGGCCTTTATCTTGGAGAAGGAACAATGCACGCATACAATTATTATTATGCCTCTGACAATAACAGCACAGAGCTGAGATTTTTATAGACTGAATTTCAGTCAGCTAAAATTGCTTTCAAGTTTTCCAGGTATATCACTTTATCTCTAGAGTTCAGATGGTAGTGGTTTGGAATAGATGAACTCTCAGGTGCGTGAAGGAAAGCATTAGAGCTTTTCTCAGCTTCTCTGCTACTGTCTTTCTACATCTTACATCCCATCCCATGGGAATCATGGGATGAATTACTTACATCCCATGGGAAATAATTTTCAAGCAAGTTCTGATTCAGTTATGAGCTTGTTATTTATGGTATTGTTTTCTGTAAAACATGCTTTTTCTAAGAATTAAACTGACAGCCCCAAATTTGCAACGGTAATGTAGAGATGAAAAACTTTGGGAGCCCATCTCTGTAGTATGATTTACAATGGAACTAGAAAGGCCAAAATATTTTAAGGAAAACTTACTTATTTTGCCTAGGGTTGTGTGTTTTTCCACATAAATGAAAATAATTTATCACTAATAGAGACAGTTTGGTAGTTGTGAGCTTTGTAGAAGTTTAATCGTACTCCAGTACTAACCTCATTTAATATAATGTCATAAACATTTATTTTATGGACACTGTTAAGAGAACAAGTGAGGAAAGTGGAGAGTTTTGTGATGCAAGTGTGTAAGCTGTTTGAGTTAAAAAAGATGGAAAAGATAGTGATTTATAAATTAACTTTGTCTTTGCAGTTTAGACAGAGATGACTTGTGAGGAAGAGTTACTGTGAGGGATGAGGTGGGTGGTGGGTGGGTATGTTGTTGGAATCAGCTGTGGGTAGTAACACACTGCTGGTCTGCCACAAAGTGGATCTGATGTCGCAGGGAAGCTGCGATACACATCATCTTATTTCAAGGGATCTGAAAGTATAGATGGGGCAGATGGACGACTTACTTCTAGCAAGCTTGTAGGCTGTAAGCAGGCGGCTGGCAGTGTTTCCATGTGTTCCTTGCAGAGGAAAGAGTCTACCTTTGTTTCTGGGAACGTTAAAGGCTGGGTTGCTGCAAGTGCGCTTCTCTTTTGCAGGAAGGTAGTGACCATGTATTTTGCAGCTTAGCCATTTTTTTTCTTAAACTGAAATAATTAAAAAAGAAGGAAGAGCTCTTGCTCTTGGGGTTCCAGTTTATGGACTGTGACTATCTCTGCTCCGCTTGTAGCTTGCTAGCAGCTGCGGAAACAGAAACTACTTCTCTGTGGATTTGCCTGGAAAAATGAAGTTATACTTAGCAGTCATGGATCATAAACTCAGTGCTTGTTGCAGCCACACAGAAATATGAATTATTTGTCTAGTTATTGGCTAGTACTTTGATGTAAATACTTTATTATAGTCTCTGTTGGCAGTTAGTCTGACTCGGACAGTTTGGAGAAAAAGGCTGTAGAAGTTGTGATTTTAGGAATACTATTTGTAAAATACTTAGCATGAGATTTAATCGCAGGTTATGCCTGCAGCTTGCAGTGTGCTGCACTGTAGAGATATTAAACCTTGCTTGCATATGGCAGTATCTTTTTAAAGTGTGATTTTTTTTTTTTTTCCTCCCCCTTCTGAAAAATAACTGTCAGATTTTTGACCCCCCCCCACCCCCCAAATGAACTGGAGCAAGTTCAGGGGAGGGCCACCGAGATGGGCAGGGCTGGAGCACTTGCCCTGTGAGGAGAGGCTGGGGGGGGCGGGGTTGTCCCGACTGGG